AGAGAGAGAGAGAGAGAGAGAGAGAGAGAGAGAGAGAGAGAGAGAGAAACTTCATTAATCGAGACAGCAGAAACAAAATCAGGAAGGAAAAAAATACTGTCTGCTAAGGGCTTTTTAGCAGACGATTCGTCAATTATACAGTCAAAAGAAACCCTGGGGAATAAAAAGACACCAAAGATGCTATTAAAATGTTCCAAGTGAAGCCATATATAATTAATTTCAAACAAGCATAAGCTATGAAAACTCAAATACTTCAAGGTGCTGAGTGAAAGGAAGGATAAATCTGCACCAGGCTTCAAAACCAATGCTTCCAGGTGAGTCTAAGATTAAGCCAGAGACAGGGAGATAATGATGTCTGCTCCCTCCCTGTTTTATTGGAAGCTCAAGAGAGCCTTAAGACGAGATGCTCCCAGTGCATCAAGGACAAGACAGACACATATAGGCCAGCACCTGACATCAGCACATAACAACTAAAAACTGAATCAAATCAGTGGAACAAAATCAAAACAGAGAAGAAAAATTCACTGACGCAGAAGACAAAGAATATAAAGGATGCAATTTGGCAAACCACTGCACAGGCTGAGTAACCACCATATAAGAACCATGGTCCCTGCAAAGCAAGCAGGTTTCTCCCTATTCTGTTTTACCAATCCATAGGTTAGGCATCAGCAAAGTTTTACTGTAAAAGGCAAGAGAACGAATCTTTTAGACTTTGTAGGCCATATACTGTCTGTTGCATCTACTCCTCCTTGCTGTTGTAGCATGAGAGCAGCCATAGACAACACATAAATGAAGACATGTCTGTGTTCCAAATAAAACTTTATTCACAAAAATAGGTGGCTGCTGTGGAACTGAATGTTTGTGTCCCTTCAAAATTTATATGTTCAAGCTTCAATTCCCAATTTGATAGTATTTGGATATGAGGACTCTGGGAGTTAATTAGGTCATGAAAGTGGAGCTCTCATGAATGGGAATAGTGCCATATAAGGGAATGAAGAGCCAGTCTCTCTCTGCATTCTGCCCTGTATGAATACAAATGGTGGTCTGCAAACCAGAAAGAATGCCCTCCTCAGACACCCGATCTGCTGGCACCTTGATCTTGGACTTCTCAGCCCCCAGAACTGTAAGGATTAAAATTTTTAAGCCACAAAACTAATAGTGTATTTGTTACAGAAATCCAACAGGCTAAAAGTGGTAGGACGTATGTGGCTGATGAACCATAGTTTGTGGACTCCCACCATAGGTGAGCCCACATGGTAAGGATAGTGTCATTAATGGACTGACTTGATGGAGTACTCAGTCTCCCGATGGTAGATGCTCAATTAACAAACAAACAAACAAAAATACTCCATTATCACCATACATACAAGGGCAGAGTGTTTAGAGCTCACCCCAACTGCAAAGGCAGGAAATCAGGATTCTGAAAACAGAAGTTGCTGAGACTATTATAAAAGGGAAAGAGGAGACAAAGGGACCAAACATTTTAGCATGTTTTTAGAAAGGCTCTCTTGGTGGGCCTGACATTCAGAGAAAAGCTGACTGTATGGGGGAGGGGCCCTCTGGCCAGTTTCTTTGAAGTGAAGCTGCTACCCCTGAGGGTACAACATGTGATAAGGCTTCATCCTCTTCCATCAGGAAGGTTTCCTGACCTTTTCAATTGACTAATTACCGTTTAGCATCCTAAGAAGTATCCTTCCTGAAATATAAAAAGCTAAGTCACTTTGGCAGAGAATTTCATAATTCAAGCTGGAATAGATCACCCATGGTACATGGAAACTTAACTTCAGTGACCTCCTTTACGACACTGGTAAATGTTTTATCCGAGGTCACCAGGTCAGTCAAGAAACACACAAGCATGCATTCTATACCGTATAATTTAAAAGCTTTATTTCTCCTCACAATAGTAAATGGGTTTCATATCAGTTCAACTGAAGTTTTCTTCCTATAGTTAGCTGCCTTTCTCACTTACTGTGTCATTGGTGGGAAAATTGCTTTCTTATGATGGAAGAGTTGATTTCATAGGGACACTCTGAGCTAATCACAGAAATGAGAGAGTCTGACCCAGCAGCTTCTGAAGGAGTCTTGAGGTCAAGCAGTCCATTCAGCTAAAGGCCTGGTCAGCAGGACCAAAACAGGCTGCTGCAACCTCTCTGTTGCAGATACTGGCAGGATCCTCCCTGCAAAAGAGACAAGATGCAGCCCCTCTGACCAGGAAGCCTGGAAGCCAGACAATCCCCTCACTTCCTGCCACATGCCCTTCCTCCATCCTGCGGCCCGACATAGGAGTGCTTTAGCTCAGCGAACAACTGGCTTCTGCTTTGGGGTCGTCCAAGGTGCACTCTTCACCAAGTGCAAGACTGGTCTTCACTCAAACGTTCAGCGTTCACACAGTTTTTGGCTTGTGCTTCGGAGGGCAGTTTCTGTCTCTCTTAGGAACAGTGGCTTCATGTCAGCAGAGGCACGGAGACCCAGGCCAGCACTGGTAGGTAGAGCATGGGGGCACTGCTGCCGGATGTTCTCTGAGCATGCATCACGGCGAAGACTGCATTAGTGTGGTTGGTGGGTAACTCTACATTACAGATCATTCCTTCACAGCAAGACCTACACTCCTGTTACAGAAGCAAGGGGAGAGGGGAAAGAGAGTAAGTAATGGGAAGGAGTGGGAAGGGCAAAACAAAGAACAAAAGAATGCTTCCACAGTGCTGAGGACGGACAGAATTAGTCACCCAACTCATCCGGTCTATGAGATACTCAGGCCCTTGAGTACCTTTCCCCCACTAACCCGAAAGTAAGGACTATCTTGAGAGTCTTTTCATTTTAACAGCGATTTATCTGTAGCAAGCCAAGCATAAGCAAAGGAAAAAAGAGGAGGAGAAACTGAATAAGACTGCTTGATTGAGTCAACAAATCTTCTAAGGTTTGTAAGGAAAAACACTGACATGAAAATGAAAGCTAGGAACCTTTTGGACTGGCCATTGATTTTCTTTCTCAGTACTACTTGTTAAGGGATAATAATGACTTTGTATTGTCTATACTAACAACTGATTTCTATCATTACAACAGCAAAGGCTTGCTAATTATGGCTGCTGAGGAGTGGAAAAGGCTTGCTCCCTCACAGCACAAGGTGTTTTCAGAGGAAGCAATCTTCTGCCATAATACCTGGTACAAGGCTTCAACCTGATAAACTTAGCCATTCCAGGATGGCTAAGAAAAGGGCAGCAACTCTACATGTCTTTATCAGCTGCTTTCAACCCTGGCAGCAAGAACATCAGAATCTCCTTGGAGAAATTTAAAAAAGAAAAGAGAGATGCCTGGGTGGCTCTGTTGGTGGCTCAGATCATGATCTCCCTGTTTGTGAGTTCAAGCCCCACATCAGGCTCTGTGCTGATGTCTCAGAGCCTGGAGCCTGCTTTGGGATTGTGTATCCCTCTCTCTCTCTCTGCCCCTCCCCTACTCGCACTCTATGTCTCTCTCTCTCTCTCTCTCTCTCAAAAATAAAAATTTTAAAAAAGAAAAAGGAAAGAAAAAAGAGCCTAATGCCCAAGACCCCACGTGAAGTTCAGTTTCAGCTGATCTGGGATGTTCCCTGACCACCACCAATATAGCTGTGAAAACTCCCCAGGTGACTCTCCAACGTTGCCAGAGCTAAAAGCTACTGGTACCAGAAGCACTTTCTGTACACAGTAACTAAATCAAATTCTAAAATCTCATAAAATTAACATACTTTTCAAGTAATTTTTTGTCAAACATTTCACAATTCCAGGCATATAAAAGAGTGAAATTGCTCATTTTAGAATGATAAAAAATTAAGGAGATCAACTGATCTGAAATATATCTATACTTCATCATATTAAACTAAGATCAATTCTTTCAGACTCTCATGTCCCCATCTAAGCAGAGGTAGGGGTTAAGACCAGGTTTCCTTAGTAAAAGGCATCCCCATTTCCCTCTTTCCACAACCCAGCTACCCTGTGCATTGTTCTCGGTGATATCTGGCCATAAACAAAATACATGAGCTGGGTTCTGTAACGTTCATCACTCTCTCATGGATGGTTGGCTCTTGGGCTTCCAGAACAGACTTCAAACAAATCAAGTTCGAGGTCTAGGATGGAGCTCTGTGGTCCGGGAATTACCATTTGTTTTTAGTGACATTTTTTGTTGAAGGACAGGAAGTCTTCAATTTCTCTTTGGTCTCCACTACATCACTTTAAGGGAGTCTTTCCTTAAAGACTACATGTATACAACAGGTTACTTTATCCTTCCTGCCTTTCCATTATGTATAACTAATGACCAGTAGGAAAAACCTTAGGACAGTAACCTTACACATACACACACACTCCTTACTGTATGTTCAGAATCTCGGCTGTGGTGGCAGCCAACAAAATGACATTCACTTCTGGAGGCACATTTTTTGGTAATGGATGTACTTCTTCCGTGGCTGGTGAAGTGGTGAACTGTCAGACAGTACTGTGTATCTAGGCAGGGGGAGAAAAGGCAACGTCACGTTTCACGCTGCAAAAGAGAAACTCAACAATCACTTCAGGAAAGACTAAAACTCAGGATGATCCTTAGGTTTCTAGGCAAGACGTTTAATGGCAGGAGTGGATGCCTCTCCTTTGGTGCCAGCTAAAGCTGAGAAAAAAGTTGAACAAGCTTTTCATCAGCACCTCAGGTCTGCTCATTTCATATGAGAGTGCCAGCATCTCTGTCTCTGTCTCTCTCCCTATGAAGCACGTGTTCTAGAACTCCAAAATAAAATGAGAGTTGTAAACGTAAAATGCAGTGGGTTAGAACACATCTTGGTGTATTATTCAGCATTTGTTTCTTGTATACTAACAGACTTGTGGTGGAACAGAATGAAAACAGGTGCTTCAAAGTATACATCAAGACCACCTTCCTGACCCATCCACTTCTTACTCATGCTCTAATCCTCCCTGCATGTTTGACTTTTCCGGAGTATTCCCATTTTCCTACTCTCTCTGCCCCTCCCTGCACACAGCTAGCTCATGTCTACAGTTTTCCCTATAGCTTTAAGTACTCACATTTTACTACTTTTAAAGAAAGTGATTTCATTCAATATGCTAGGACCCGCCACTTCAGTTTTGCATCTCTCTCCAGTTATCTCAGACCAATGCAATGCTCCTTAGTTTATTGAGAAGGGACTATAGCAGCAATGTCATAAAATGGGGGGAAACCTTACTAATGTGGAGAGCACTTGGTTTTAGAGAATTCTGTCACATGTGAGCACTATTAGGTCCTTAAAGCTCATTTTCTTTTGAATAAAAGATGATAACAAGTGTCCGACATTTTGATAGGGTTGTGGTAAGCTTCAAATAATATTAACACGCCATCAGCGCGGCACTCTAACAGGTATTCACTCAGTCAATCCTTACAATAAGCCTTAAGGCAAGTCATATTAATATCATTTTACAGATAGAAAAGCCAAGGCATGGTTTCTTGCCCACAGTTACATTAGACAGAAGGTGGTGGAAGATAGGATTCTAACCTAGGCAGTTTTCTAGGGTTTGTACTCTTAGCCAGAACACTATTCCGCCTCTCAGCATACCTAGTGTTAAACTAGATGATGCTTTGCTGTGCTCTAGGAGAGTAGCTGACTTCCGCCTTTAGAAGGACAGGGAACCACTGAATGTTTGGGAAAGGCATTTCGACCTATACTTCACATAAAGAAGAATCGGAAACTGGTAGCTCCATGTGTTCGTATAAAATGCCACACATGCTAAAGCACCCTAGAAAGTCAGAACAGAAGCCAGGGTAAATAAAATAAGAAATGTCATTCTTGTCATATCCTGTTACACAGAGAACCTCTCTTAACAACACTGACAGACCACAGAAGTAAAGCTCTAAGGTGAAAAGGAAACCTGAGCTGACAAAGAACAATAGCTGTGGGCCAGTCTGCCCCCGAGAAATGGTTGACTATCACGCCCCTAAATGATGACTAACTGAAAAGCAAGAAATTATACCCTCAGGTAGAATTCCAGATGGTTAGGATCTTTGGGGCTTGACTGGAGCACAGTCAAAAATGTACTGTCATGCACACTGGAATGTAGGGTCGTTCCGTGGCAGTCTCGTTAAGAGTCAAGTTTTCAAGTTGGACTTGGAAGAGCCAACTTCCTTCACCCTTCCCATCTCTGGCGTTTCCTTGCTGATGGAAAGCTGCAGCTCCCTTCTTCTGCTCACGTGTTTCAACAGAGATGAAACTCTGCAACCCGGAAATATCCATGCGCGTTCCCATTCAAGACGGCTTTGATTCATGAATGACAAATCAGAGTACTGTGCTGTTCCTAGTAGGAACAGGGTTTGGATACAATCCAAAATAATATAGTCCATGAAGACGAAGTACAAGGAGTTGGACATCAGTGCCGTAATTTGCTACTGTTACAATCCTTACCACCCGGTTTTCAGGGGCATTTAAAGCAAATAGCTAAGAATGGTACCCACCCTCTGAAGTAAATTAGTAAAGAGAGACATCGGCCAACCTTAAAAACTTTGCAATTACTAAGATAAATTTCTGTGCAAAATGTAGAAACAAATCTCCAAATGCACAAGATACATAAATGTACTCAAACACACACACACAATTTAAGGTCACTCTACAGAAATGTAAAAGAACCTCAAGACAAAATTAAAATAATTAATTACTCTTGAAAAGAAATCATGAAAAATACTGTCCAGAGGCACGTGGGTGGCTCAGTTAAGTGACCCACTCATGGTATCAGTGCAGGTCATGATCTCGTGGTTGTGAGATCGATCGCCACATCTGGCTCCATGCTGAATGTGGAGCCTGCTTGGGATTCTCTCTCTCTCTTCCTCTCCCCTTCTCACTCATGCTTGCTCGCTCTCCCTCTCTCTCCAAATAAATACACATTAAAAAAAAAAGAAAAATACTTTCCAAGTAGATGTCACAACCATTTGTGCTAATTTACAGCCTAAGAGTCTCAGGCCCCATAGAGGTCTGCAGTGTGTACTAATCATTGGTACCATACACTGGCTTTATCTGGAAGAGGTAAGGCTATTTTACTGCTTTATAGAATATGGTACAAAGATTTCCAAAAGAGTCAAGGTAATAGTACACCAAAACTGGTAATCTTTAGCTCTAGAAGAGTTTGTTGGTTGGCCGGTTTGCTTTTCTTGGCCTTTTATGTCTGAAAACCTAAAAAATAGTACTTCCTAAAAATCTGAATAGCCTCATCTTATAGCTCTGAGTAGAGCTTTCCAATTCCAACTCATCCCTCAGCACATCCCGTCTGCTTTACCTCCAAGTTTATATATGTTAAATCATTCGACTTCTTGTCCCTCTATCCCTACCACCATAGTCCCGGTTATCATCTTCTCCCGCATAAAGACAATAAAAGACCCCACTTGGTTTCCCTTCTACTTTTGTCCCCAACCACTAGGGATGTATCCGGGAGCTAAGCAAACTAAAAAGTTCTCAAATGTTTGTCAAATGAATGAATGAGTTACCAAGGCACCAATGTATCTCAAGAGTATAAAAACCCTTCTTTGCTTTAGCCAGTAAGTGTGACTTTTCTAGAGGTATCAAGCATTTCTGAAATTCTTAGAATGCCTTGGACAACACTGTGGACTATTTGTTCTGCTTGATAAATACTATTTAAGAAATCCTCCCTGGAGGCACACACAAACTGAGGTTATACCATCAGCTTCCAAGTACTCTCAGAGTAGTCTGATACCTGCATAGTCTACTAAAAGAAATCTGATTTTGATATAACATCATCAGCCTGTTGATATATGCTAATCCCATTATATAAGGCAGGTCTGCTCACGGCCAGTTAAGAGAGACCTAAATGAGGTATAATCACCAGAGAGTGTTCCAAACTCAGTACACTTACTTTGTGGGCACCATTTGTCTTCTGCCCATCGATTGCAGTTATAATTATCTCTTGCATTTTCACAGGTAAAACACTTGAAGCTATTTGGAAATGGCGTAGCTTTAAAGAAAAATGCACAGTGAAACAGAAAGGTTAAAAAAGACAAAAATTTTAAACATCAAAGATGGCACAAATTAGCAACTTTTATCAGATCAAACGAAATTTACAAACCATCATCCTTAGAGTTTTCGTTGCCAAGGAGCTGGAGTTAACTGCCAGACTTCGGGGCATATTTATTCTCTTTTCTTTAAATATTTTGTCTGTGCTTATCTACTATAGAGTAATGAAAATGGTTCCACAAGCCACTTTGAAACACCCATGGTATTGTTTCATTACAATGTATAACTTGGGAATAAGTGGGGGTTGAGAGCACAGGAAAGGGTGGTGGCGGGATTGGAACCAATGATATGGTTTAGTGTGGCCCCTGAAAAGAACTGGAGTCAGATTAACCTGAGCTTGAATTCTGTTCTTCCTACTGCGTAGCTTTATCATTTTTAACTTCCAGGAAATAATAATATTTAGAGAAATGCTAACAGTGAAGATCCCCATGACTTGCAGAGGAATCATGAAGATTAAACAGGAGGCTGCAATAAAAAATATCTAGCATAGTCCCTGGCACATCAAATCCTGCTGGTGTCTGTCTACACGCACTTCCATTACAGCCATCTTCAACCTCAATCAAGCAATCTCACTTGATATACGTCAATTATCACAACATTAGACCTCAATCAGGAATGTAACTTTTAATGTAAGGATGATAGCAATTCTCAGGCTCTTATGCTCATGCTGGTGTTACAGAAAGCAGGAATTATGACTGCTGGCAGTCTGGATTGAAAGTAACTAGAATGTCCTTTTGGTCTTTAGGTTTTTGTGGTTTTTTTTTTCCCAACCTTGTATCTTGTTATTTTAATGGGCAAGAAGTCAAAAGTGTAATAAATTTGACATTTCTTTATAAGCCGTGGCATAAAGCCTTACGTAAAACTTCCAATTCTTCCATTTTTGGAGAATAAAATGGATAAAGATTAAGGAAAATGTCCGACCATCCTAGTAAACTGATCATGTTAGTCAAATATTTCTATTTTTTTAATGATTTTTTTAATCATAAAATTTTATTAGGCTTAAAGTTTCAAAATTTGTCTATAATTTAGATTTTATGAAAATCTCAATGTGTTTGTGCCATGTCATTAAGCTATTAGTATACGATCATTACCAGTTTAGAAACATCTAATAAATGACAGTTCAAGGTGTGCGTGGTATATATGCAATATATGTGTGTATGCACACACACACGCAGTGTCACAAATAATAAAGAAAGCACAAAGGGAAGAAAAGTAATATATAGGCTTCATTTAGAAGTGGTATAAAGACAGTGGGTCCCAAACCTGGCTGTGCATGAATAGTATCAGGAGAGCTTTTTTAAAAAGAAGAGGGTTTGGGGCAGGGAAAGCAAAGAATATAATTTACATCCCACCCTTCTGACTACTGAACCTCTGCAGAGGAGACCAAGGAATATGTAGTTTTAAAGGCTTTTATCATGATTTTGATACTCTTCCAGGTGTGGGAACTACAGCCATTCATCTTTATACCAATTGGTGTCTATAATCTTTCTCTAATAAAGTATATCAGAGAAGTCTCACTTGTCTGAAGAGAGAAAGGAGATGATATATGTATAAAAGTACAAATATTCACATGTATGCATATAAAATATATTATCCTATAGATAATGTTCACTGATATTTGCTTCTGTGTAAATTATTAGTGGAAAAGTTGAATTTTATACAGCCTTTTCTAATGGTGACTATGCATATTAATGAAAATCCAAGCATTATTTCCCACCTAATTTCAAATATACAAATCTGTTTCAAAATTGTTAATGGTCATTTGAAAGAATATATCATTTAGGGGTGTCTGGGTGACTCGGTTGTTGAGCATCTGACTCTTGATCTCAGCTCAGGTCTTGATATCGGGGTCATGAGTTCAAACCTCATGTTGGGCTCCACAACCATATATAAATTATATACGGAGAAACTTCCTTCCTACAGCCAATATCCTTCTCCATTGAAGAGATCAACAAAGAACACTGTCTGCTAAGCCATTCGTGGTGACAGTGTTCAAGAGATTATTTTACTTTTTCATTTTTAAAAATGTTTATTTATTTTTGAGAGTGAGAGAGCGAGCGAGTGCACGTGAGTAGGGGGAGGGCAGAGAGAGAGAGGGAGACACAGAATCAGAAGCAGACTCCAGGCTCCGAGCTGTCAGCACAGAGCCCGACGCGGGGCTTGAACTCATGAACCGTGAGATCATGACCTGAGCCAAGTCAGATGTTTAAACTGAGCCACCCAGGCACCCCAAACAGAGTATTTTAACCAAGAACCATTTTGAGACTTCAGCAGAAAGCTAAAGCATTTTAAAGAAATGGAGAAAATTTCTGTCATTATGTACTACTCCTCCTCACCAAAGTAGAGAAGACTCTCTGGCTTATTGTAGGTATAAACCAAATATTCCAGAGCAGGCAAAGTTATTATAGGTGGAAAGAGGGACTTCGAATTGTTGCCCTGACCCTACAGTCGTGAACCAGGACACAACCACTACTTACGGTCCAGAGGAGGCCTCACGTTGTAGAAGTTGATGTTCTTGGCCAATGCCCAGTTTTCTGACAAGATAAAGATCTGGACAACAGCTACAGCCAGAGCATGACGGAGGGGCAGCATTCTGACCTTGGTTATGGGAAAGTCCAAAACTCACATCTACAATGAAAAGAGAGACTGGTCGCATTTATCTGCATTTTGTTTGTCAGGAGGAGCAGGCTTTGCTTCCATTTGGGAAGCCTGATTATTCAAATCTATCCAACCATCTACTTGTTCTATAGGGCCCGTACCCGTAAGCAAACTGCATTCTTTTTCACAGATGAAAGCTAAGTAATTACTGCCTTCTACTGGTCAGGCCTCTGCACTAGCCATTTAAGCTCTAGCAGGACACCCAAAGGCCTTTCAGGTTCCGGAAGAACAAGGAACAGCATGGGCGTGGCCACACCCCATTCCCTCACTGCCTGAGGCTAGCCGGCGTACTTTGTGCTGAATAAGCCAATCACTTAACAAACAGGGTCCAGAGGCACATTTACCTGAAGTTACTGAACCACCTATCTGTCAAGTCCACACTCTGAGTAAACACTTGTGCTTGAGAAATTTTGCAACGCTTTCAAAACCTGGAAGAAACCTTAAGAGTCAGAGCACTAGGAAGGGCAGTGCATAAATGTACAACAAGTTTGGGAAATAGAGTCTCTGCTGGACCCCAGAGCACAAAGACAATGCCATCCCCATCTGTGTCTGTCACACTGGGTGCAACAAGCTGCCAGGAGGTTCTAGAGAAAACAGAGTAAGAGTTGTTTGAAATGCTGATGTGATGTTAGTCCTAGCCCACAAATACTGCTTCTGCTTTCAAAGAGGTGAAGTAGTCAGGTTTGATACCCAGTGAAACAACAGACGTCCACAGCACACCGAGGAAGACAGTACATCTTAAGTCCCACTGGTTCTACCCTCTAGAAGCAGACCTGGTAGTAAGAAAATCTTCAGGAGAGATGCTGAGAACATACAGGATCACCACAAACAGGTTCTCTTTGGCAATGGAGAGGTGTGGGAAGCAGAAAAGGATGTAACTTGGAGTCCAAAGACTTTGGTTCAGGTATTGGCTCTGCTATTTATTAGCTGTCTGACCTTGGGCAAGCTCTTTAAGCTCTATTAACCTCAATTTCCTCATCTGCAAAGTGGTTTAATAACACCCATTCTGCCCACACTTTGGATAATTGTAAGCATCAAATATAGGCTCAGGTAGAATCACATAGGATTGTGAAAGTAACAGCACTTGTAATACAAGTCTGTGAAAATGCTAGAACCTTAGAGTTCAATAATATTGCCTGAACTCATTTTCTTCTTGCTGAATCAGCCGGTCTCTGTGGGTTTAGGAAATTTTTCAAAGAAGAAAAGTTTGATCTCTGCACATATGAGCATAATCCTTCACATGGATATTTTGTTTGAAGCCAGGATCATAACGCACAGAATCTAGGGATTTTACCTCCCCCTGTTGTGTTGTGAGTATATTGGTTTTGCATGTATAGCTAATAATGCCTACCTACAAAGATGGAACTAGATAGCAGACAAAATATAGCCAACAGCATCCCCATCCCTATAGATGGCTTCTGCCACCAATTGAACATAGTCTCTAAGAAGTACTCAGTGTAAAGGAAAACCTGGAAGGTTTCAAAAGCCAATAGGGCTAAACTTCCTATACTGCATTTCAGCTCACGACAGAATGCGACCTACTGATATGTAAATACATATATAAAATTCTGTCCTGGTTCATTTTAGAAACCAAAATTGATCGTTCACAGTTATTAGATTTCTAAATCTTATTTTTATGCTCTTTCTGAAGAAATGGACGTTTCTAATAGCTAACTATATTATTCCTTACAGACGAGTCATTATGCTGGTACAAATTCTCCTTCTCCTATTCCTTTCTCTAAATTGGACTGCTCCATATTCATTGTGAATCTGGAGCCAAGGAATGAAGACCCCTGCTTTACACCAGTGGAGAAACTTTGAGTAGGAGAGACTCGTCCCTTTTTCACAAATCTCAAATTCATTGTGTTCCAATAGCAACCCATATTCAAGTAATATGGAAATAATGCCTAAGATTATACATTTCAGAGTCGTATCATCTACATTCAGTCCCTTTTCCATCACTAACAAATATGGGGCCTCAGACAAATTGCTTCAACTTTCCAAGCCTTGGCTTGCCCATCTGTAGAAGAGGCACAATAACAGTCTCTACCTCAGAGTATAGAAGCACAGACTAAATGACATCATGTGTATGAAGCACTCAGCCAAGTGCTGGGCACATGGGCACTTTCAGGTAGAGTACAGGCTCAAATACCTGCTTCTAAATCTACTCTCTTTATAGACTGGTGCAAGTTCCTTGACCTCTCTGTACCACAACTTTTGCATCTATAGAATGGAAGTAATGATATTAATACCTACCTCATAGGGTTGTAGGAATTAGTTAATACACATAAAGTACTTATCTAATTAGCTGTGTTCGCCAGTTTTCAATCCTCACTAGGTAGCATTCGCTGTTAAGAACATATCTCCAAACAGGAATCCCAAGTCAGAACCCCTGGTTTTCCTCATGTAATCTCTATGTGAGACAGAAGCTCATTTATTCATTCAAATGTCATTACTGACATGTAGTGCATAGAAAGAAATTGTTATTACTGGACCTCCAACATGGCCTTTGCTCTCATGAAGTGTGCATTTTAGAAGGAGAAGACAGACACTATGGGGAAAATGTAATTTCAGATAGTCATGATTCTGAGATAAGTACAATAGAGAGATGTGTGGGTGAACAGGAGGACCTACTTTACATATACAGTGGACCCAGTATGAGAAGAAACCACCCAAGCAAAGAATCAAGGGAAAAGACACTAGGGTTCCAAGATAGGAAGAAGTGCACGTGCAGGGGGGAGGGGGCAGGGACAAAGTCAGAGGTGGTGGGACCAGATCATACAGGCACTTACTTACAGGCCATGGCAAGGATTTGGGATCTAACAAAACCAAGGAACTGTTTGGTTTTAGATTATCTGATTTTGAAAAAATGCTTGGTCTCTGCAGAGCAACAGGTCCCAAATCCCTAGCCTTACTTCTCACTCCCAGAATAAAGGGATGCCAATAACAGACAACATAGAGGAATTTAGGATTCACAAAGGTTTCTCTGAATAAAAGAGTGATTGGATGGCAGACGACTTTAAAACAACCAAATGAACAGCAAGCCCAAGGATTAGATTTGTATTTTGTTTTTTCCATTCTTCAAAACAGGACTGTAGGGAAAGTGGCATCATTACCATTGTACAAGTGAGCTTAGGAGACAATGTGTGTAAAGATCCTAGCACACTTCCTGGAACAGAGTAACCCCATCAAAACAACAGTGAAAAGTCGCCGTATCGACTAGTATATTTTTATTTCCATTTTTAGCTAAAACAGCATAGCCTTACTGTATCAAAATTCGCCAGAACTGCAAAGGTTTTACCTATCAAATGAAACAAACAAACAAAACACTAAATAAAAATGTCTGCTATTTTCCAGAGCCGGCTTTATAATCTATTACCAATACTGCTTTCCCCTAAGTACCTATATCTATCTCTATCTATTCTGCAGTGGATAGGTTTGTGTTAACATGACTGTTTTATCTTTCACAACCAAAAGACATTAGGATAATGAAAAAGCAAATGACTAACTATGGTATCTGAAAGTTGTTTTACATTTAGAATCATTTCACGGAGACTCTGAACTAAAAATTATCTGCTGAGACTTTGCTGAGTAGGCTCTCACTGCAGTCTTTGTTGCAGAACAAGGTTACAGCAGAGCTTGTATTTTGCTCCAGAAGGGAAAAAAAAGAAGTCTTTAAGATGAGTCAGACTAAACCATTCTGGTATTTTCTCCAGGACCATCACACAGAGCAGAGTTCTTCAGAGCAGGGAGGGGTGACTTGTAAGCTTGTTAAGGGTTATTTGCAAAATATTGTGTCTATATAGATTTTTCCCCCTGGGCTGAGGATCTCAAAAGGAATCTGTTAATCTTAACATAACAGTTAAGAACTGCTGCTTGCTGTTTCAGAATACAACTGTCAGGATTTGGCTTCCTGTGACTTAGATGGTTTTATATTTGACACTAAGAAAGTTCCACATATACATTAGGTATCTGGTATACACTCAAGTTCAAGGATGGCTCAAATCATTCCTCCCCAGCAGAGCACAATATTTTTATCCATTTTTCCCCACAGATGGTAGGCCTGGTCAAAAACCCCTCACCTGTGGTGCTGGCCTTCCATTTGGTTTATGATCCTCTCTTTGGCAAGTAGGATATGCTCCAGAATGCCAAAAGAAAGGGGTGCTTTCTGCAAAGGCAGATTCAACAGAGATGGGCAACTCTCAGGTACTCCAGGGAATGGCAGGTAGCCAGATGTGTACATTTGCAAAGCCCACCTGGCCTATTACTGCCCAGCGTAAAGGACCTACACGGCACTTGGTCCAGAAGCGTGACTATTTCCCAGGTCTGAGTAATAATCAGCATCTTATCCTACATGTGGCATTTTCTGCCTCCACGGAAAATATGCAAAGATGATGGGGGTTTCAACAAGCAGCATGTCCTTGACATCATAAACTCTCTTTTGGGGTAGGGAAATGACCTACATTATTTTTTAAACTATTTTTTAAGTCCCTAGGTCTAGGCTCAGTGCATGGTAAATATCCAATAAATACTTTTTTAAAAATAGAACCAACATCTTAGCTATGATCTTAAGGAACTCTTTTCTTAACAAGACAAAGATTGTGGGCAGTAAGGAGTTGATGGAATGTCCAAAGATGAAGAAATGGTCTCAAAAGGAATGGACTCAAAGGGAGATTTGAAAAAGAAGAGACCAAACAATGTGGTAAATACTGGTACTTCCTGCACAGTTGCTAAAAATGAGTCAGCAAGCCAAGGCTAACTCCAACTGCCAATAAAACAAATGAAATGGATAATTTAGAGGAAGCAGCTCTACTAAGTCCAACATGCCCATCAACACTCATATTCACACTTTCCTGAAAGCATCACTTATCCCGCAGTAAGACACTTTAACGACAAACTTTAATAGGCCCGGCTTCCCTTGTAAAAAGAATAGAAGGCCAAGTGGAAATTCAAAATGAGTGCTGAAATTT